GAGAGAGAGAGAGAGAGAATGAGAGAGAGAGAGAGAGAGAGAGAGAGAGAGAAGAGAGAGAGAGAGAGAGAGAGAGAGAGAGAAGAGAGAGAGAGAGAGAGAGAGAGAGAGAGAGAGAGAGAGAGAGAGAGAGAGAGAGAGAGAGAGAGGCAAAGAGGTAGGTGGAAAGGGAGAGGGATAGAAAAGGACAGAAAGAATGAATGTACAGTGGTTAAATTTTCCTATGTTGCTATTCCTTTGAGAATTCCAAAACCTTTATGCCTCACATTTGAAATCCCATGGTCTTAAGAGGGGATAAATGAATACAGCACGCTGCCCAGTAAGACATAAAAGCCTCACTTTCTCAGGACCATTTACCTGCCTGAAAGAGTTCTTCTTCCACAAGAAGATGAACAAGAAGAAAAACAGTAACTAACCTTTGCTGTATGGAATCTATGGCACACCATTTGTATTAGCTTCACATCATTCTTCTCAATGCGAGTGGTGTCTCGAATATATCGGACATTGTACTTCTTCTCCTCCAGGGTAAGCCACTGGTAAAACATGGCCAGACTCTTGAATGTTTTGAATTCCCTTGGGACAACAACTTTATGAACCTCTTCCATGTGCTTGAACAGGAGTTTCACCTAGAAAGAGAAAAAGGGAGAGAGAAATCTGAGTCAGCCTAGTGGCAAAGACATTTCATTTATGTTCTCTATTACAATTTTGAATAATTCTAATTGGACAAGGAAGTTAAGATGGAAAATAAATATATGAAAATACATCATGAAAAAACAAAAAACACACACACACACACACTATCTCTCTCTCTCTTTACCTGGTAGAAAGACAGGTGACTACACCCTGGTTCTTGGCATTTGAAATTCCCTCCTCTTGATACAGTGGACTTATTTGACTGGCTCACCTCTGTGCAAACTTCTCGAACATGCCGCAAAAAGTCAAAATGCTTGGGGAATACTTGTTGACACTCCTACAGTAAAAATACAAATTAAGCATTTCAAGATTGTTATTGAAATATTTTGAATATCAATCTCTCTATAATTTCATAAAGAAGAAAGAAGAAAATATGCTGCTACAAAAGGACAAAAATGATCTTCTGCGGTTAAAATCCAACATAGTATTTTCCTTTACCCAAAATCAAAGGGTTTATAGCAAAATCTTAATAATGGATCTTTATTCAACTAAAACACCACCTTGCATTGCCAGCTCTGTCTTGGTTTCTTCCGTATAAGGACGGTTTTCTCTGGAACATTGTCGTCCACACGACCATCTGCCAACTGTAGCAGGCTCTTTGTGTCTTTTACTCGGACATCAACATCTATCCCCAAGTCCATCAGGCAGCCATCTTCATCTGTCTCAACACCGTGTGACTCGATGTAGTGTTCCACCTGTGGTCAAATATTTATGATTACTGATCATTAGGACTTATTACACATCATCATTATTGCAATGTGATATAACAATTAGAATTGTATACATGCACTGTCCCCTGTGGTTTCATTTTATTTTGTTTACACAGATAGCACCATATGGTATTAAATCAATTAGCAAGCCTACCTGACCTCACTTGTTCATCCCCATTCCTTGAAATTTCAGAAAATAAACTTTTACTCATTTTTAATGCTGTTAAACTGTCAACCTGGGTGGCATCTGTTCTTGAACCAACACAATGAACTCATATTCATGTATGCATGCTACATGTAGTCAAGTTTTATGTGCTGAGTATTAAATATTTGTTTCCTTGTTCACTTGTGATCACTAATGAAATACAGCTGTCCAAAGATTTAATTTTTTTCTATTGCCAGATCATATATGCAACAACATAGACAGTGAAGAAAACATGTGCTTCATGTAATTCAAATTTTTGCACATAATACCATATGGCATGAGTAAAAGTCATTATCATAAGGCCAATAATGTCATAATAACAATAGCGTAAATAACAATAATAACCATGACTGAAATAAAATCAATTTACAAAAAATTCAGGAATGTGGTGAATACTTGACTCTTTGGTAACTAAATACTTGTGAAACCATGTACATGTAAATAGAATTAACCAGTTGAATCTGGTTGCGTCATGGAAATCACGGTGCCAAAAATATGGGCAGTGGATTATGTAAGTAGCCAACATCCCGGGCATGAGGTGAGTAGGCCGGGCGCATGCAAACACACTGGAGCGGTGACAAGACTGTGCCTCCTCTTTACAAAGTTATTTTGTGTAATCTTTTTTTTTTTTTCTTTTTTAGCCTTTTGGCCAATTTCCAATGTCTATATTTGTCTTTTGATTTACTTTATCCAGATGGTAAGAGCTTATTTTCCTTGCACAGACTCCATATCATCTCTCTATGTAGTAGATAACTCAGTGCAATAATAATAATAATAATAATAATAATAATAATAATAATAATAAGAAGAAGAAGAAGAAGAAGAAGAAGAATTGTTTTTGTCATATATCTAATTTTTTTTTTAATATTAAATTTTTCATAATACAACTTGTGCTGCCAGTCAGAAATAGTGTGCAGCATGGAATTGATGTCTTCCGCTCTTCCGGTCATGGCTTGTGCACTTTACATTCCACATTCATTTATCGATGGGAATAATGCTAAAGCCCCCTTCTAAGCGCCAAATGAGTCAAATCACACGCCAAGAGGTCTGTACACTCATGGCAAGTCTTTTTCATCACCCTCGCCTTTGGTCATAACAGCCCCATGGCCATTTTGCCCAATGACAGCATGTTTACATCACCCAGCCCTTGAACCAGATTTTTCTATGACGGGACTGTAACATCATCTGGTTCATAGGGGTTAATAAAAACAAAACCAAAGTAGGCAGTGCATGCATTGACCACTACTGGGTTGATATATCATACTGATTTATTCAAGTTTCCTTACATCATTACCACATCCAGCTGCATAACTTACCATGTCCACTTGGTTGCTGATTTCTTCTCCACAGAACCCACACTCAAGGGGTTCCTCTGGCTGCTCTGCTTTGATGGGTTCTTGCACTGTCTCTTTTAAACCTTCAGAAGCAAATTATGAGAGATGAGCTGCATAAAATCAAAACAAAAATGTAAAAGGCTTTAAGACAAAGATCTCAAGATAATAACATAAAATAGCCAAATAAGTCTCCTTTCTTTGATTTCATGTTATATCTTTGCTTGTGTAATCTATTTAAAATAACAATTTTTCTGCTTTAAATATGACACTTATTATTCTAATGATAATAACAATGATCCCACATACAACATCAATAACCTAATCTTTAAACCAGAACTGAAATCAATATCAAAACATGCCAATCAAATTTCGAAGAGATAGACTGCACCACTTAATTACTGTTACATGCAATACCAAGGATAATGATGTATACTACTCCATCAATCTAAATGATTGTAACGGTTCTCATCATTGAGACACCAGCCACAGATTAAACAGAAGAGAAATTTAAAAATCTTTGTGGTGTGCTCTGTTTTTCTATCAAATTGGAATCCATCTTATATGTGACTTTAAACTCCTCTCACTTTGTCCCTCCTGTTGTGGCAACGAAGACTGGCTTTGTGAGTCCTTTGTCGGGGCTGCTTGGCTGCTGGAGGCCTTTGACAGCATTTCTACATGTGTGTCTCCCTGGGCCAGTTTCTCCAACTCCTCTAGATGGACAAGACTCATGTGTTCTACTAAGAGGTTCTTAGTGAGCAGGACTAATGAGCACAGGGAACACACGAAGTTTGCAGTCTGATGGGAAGAATCTTTACTAATCAGTGGTGGGAAGGGAATAATGCATTCATAGTACTAATACCAGTACCTAATTTAGTTACAATATGATGAGTTTCAAAGAACATATTTAGACAATTCTATCCCCTTAGTAACATCAAAACCATGTAAATAATGTAAATTCATGTGACTTCTTTCCACAGTATGTTTTTTCTAAGGTACTAGGAAACCATCAAGCTTTAAAAGCAATAGTATGAACATGAAACAGTTATTTAATTAAGATACTTAATTCATATGAAGTCTGTAACTTCAGAAGAAACTGTATACTGTCTTAATTAAAATCACAGAAATAAGTATCGACAAAGTCAATTATAAATAATTATATAAGTGATCTAAAATTTGCATTTACTAAAATATTAACATACAAGTTTATCTCATCTGTAAAAAATGTAAAACTTCAAATCTAATTCCCATCATCATAATCAACTACTTTTTCCTTTCATTACACACAGAAACTTATCTTGATTCTGCTGTAGGGTAGCAAGGACATGACTCTATTTGTCTTAATTATCGACAGGGTCAAATTTGATAAAAACATGAACTGCAGAATCAATCTAATTGAACCATAAATAAAAGATAATAGATATAAAATAAATATATAAATAGACAAACAAAAAGGCCCTTCCTTACCTGTCCCTGGAGGCGTGTATATGTTTCCTGGAGGCGTGTAGTGTGCTGGAGGACCATGTGCTCAATAAACTGGTCTTCTGTCTGATAATTAAGACTGCAAACTGGGCATCTATAACATATAAATTAATATAAAAGAGTGGGCACTGTGGCAGCAGCACAGGTAGTAGAATTAGTAGCATTACAATAACAATACCAACAACAACATGAACAGTATCAATAGGAATTATAGCATAAATGAAGAGGGATATATATCATCTTTCTTCACCCTTTTAAATAGTGTCAAAAGTATTATTCAGCTGTATACTACATGTGTCTAAATATATTTTGCTGTTCATATATTCTAATATACATTATACTTCACTCCACTCACCTAAACAAGGGTTGGCTGTCAGTTGATTTTCCATCAAGTATATTTCGCATATGCTCAAGGTCCGGTCCGTGTTCTGTCATAACGTGATGTGCCAATGCTGCCTTGGTTATGAACATTTTCTGACAGAGGGCACATACCAGAGACCAGGCCTGAGGGGGCTTCTCTCTTCCTCTTACACCCTGGTTACAAGAAGCAATTCTTTTTTGTTTAACATTTCAGAACTCATCTAAATACATCATATAAATCATGTTACTTTCATCTCCCCTCTCTACAGTAAAAATATCAAGTTGAAAATCATGATATGCAAGATGATGAGCAGACGGCAGTGTTGGGGTAAGATGGAAGGTACTGGAAGTGGAGGAGCACCAGCATGCAGGTGAGAAAGGAAGGAAGGAGGTGGAAGATAAGGAGAAAGGAGGATACAAGTGAAAGAAAGGAGTTTGAAGAGAAGAACAGTTAAAATGCTGGTCCAATTTACTCTTACCTTGGAATCTGCTACTAAGGCAGTAGGCTGTGGTTCCCCTTCTTGGCTTGCAGTCTCAAGGCTAAGTTGTACTGTGTGGGCTAGGCCAGTTGTGCTGCGGACTAATCCCTCATTGTCTGCCACCAGGAGGCCTTTGGATGCTGGTACTGGAGGAGCTGAAGCATTATCTTATTAGTGTCTTTGGTTCTTTGATTAGTGCTAATATCTGTAAAAATAAGAGCATATAAACCCATATATCCATCAAACTTACTCCCATCGAAAAGCTGGGCAGAATTTCTCGCTCCCGCTCTTGAGGCTGTGTGACTCCCCCTTCCTGGTGGCCTCCCCCTTCTCCCTGGTCCTCTCCCTCTTCTGGCTGGAGCAGGGAGTGGGTCTGGGTCTGCAAAAGGGTCTTCTTGGGGTTCAGGCTCCTCCTCTTCCTCTTCAGCTCCACCAATCTCCTGTCTGGCTCCAGACAGATCATGGACAGACACTTTAGTACACTTCTTGATGTGGCTGCTGTACTGGCGCTCTTTGTTAAAGGTGCGATCGCAGTCCTATAGAGAATTATCAATAATGATGTAATATTCTATTTCACATACCATTATGCACATAACTTTCTTATATTTACATATATGTATCTTAACTGACTACAAGAATAATTCTTGCTTCAAGCTTAATGTAACCATATCTCAAAGATAAAAGCAAGATGGCAGTTAATTATATTGCAAATTTGGAGAAAAGGACACTGGTAAAAAAAAGACTGATAAAATGTAATGATATTAAAATCAATACCTATTTCCATGGCTTTTATTTAATTAATTTTGAGGTATGCTAATCCTTGGAGGATTTAGAGCACTTATATAATAAATAAATCTTTACATTCACATTAATCATTACACCTGAAAATCATGGTTACATTCTCTTACCAAGCCTTTTTATGCAATCCTCTTAGTAGATCTAAGACACACAATTAGTAGCATATGAATGAACAATAAAAGTGTCTAAAATGGCCTGGCAAAATGAATAGTAGTATAGTATATTATGTAGTTGAAGGTCACCTCTCACCTGACATCTGAATTGCACTGCTTGTTCGAGAGAAGGATCAAGATCAACTGTCTCCACCTTCCCACGCTTGGCTGGTGTTGGTTCTGCCTCTTTCTCATCATTTTTCCTCTGAAAAATTTTCAATAGATATAATTGGGAATTTGACACAGAAAAATAAAGCATGTTCCTGTGTAGCTTAGGCACCCTTGATAGCATATCTGCAAAATAAAAAGTATTCTGATAAAATATGTGGGCAGAGATTTTTCAAATTCCATATTACATAAGTGAGGTAAAAACATTTCTGAAATAAAGATGGTGCTGATACATCTCAAGTTTCCAATCACATAAGATATAAAATATATAAAAGGTTAATCAGTAATGACAACAGACAGTAACTCCATGTCTGGTTAAAAATCATCAGTACAGTCCTACAATATTCTGAATTTGCATAAGGAATCCAAACTTTTAGTTTTATGTTGTAAGTGAAAGAAATATACTGTCCTTAATACTAAAGAGGATTTCCCCATCAAATGATAGAAGGGGTAAAAAAATGCAATTTCATAAAAGTTCTTTTCTGAAGAACATGTAACATTATTCAGTTTTCCTTCAAAGCATGTATGCATTCCTGACAAACACAAAAAAAATCTACACAGCATAAAGGAAATATGAACATAAAACAAAATAATATATATCATCAAGCTTCAGAAATTAGGCAGAATGGAATGGAATGATATATGAGCAGATTCAGTTACATCCAAAAATATATAAATATTACTGAAGAGCAATTAACAATTTCACTACCCATTTAAGCTATAATAAATTTAACACTCAAAAATGAGTAAGAAATAAGTGTAGCATTTCCAAATATGAAATGTTTCAAAGATCCAACAATCCTCAAATCTAAAGATAGGAAATAAGAATTCAAAGACGAACCTTGACTGCAGAACCTTTTTTGCCGTACGGGCTATGGAAACACTTCAAAAAATGCTGGGAGATCTGAGGTTTTGTCTTGAACGTCATCTTGCAGAAAGAACACATGTATAATGGAGCCTTTTCTACTTTCACCTCTTCCTTTTTACAACTTCGCATGTGCTTTCTGTTGGTCACAAAACAAGTAAAATATAAAAGCCATTATTTTGCTTTTTCAAGGTTAAACTCTTACATAGTAACACATTTCAGGCAAGGTGATGCAGATAAAGAAAAGGGGTAGTGAAGAATGAGGTGATTGTTGTGCCAATTTGTTTATTTGTTTTGTCGGACAAAAGATAAAACAAAACAGGGCCATTAATACAGAACATGGCAACCCTCCAATAGCCATTAAAAAAAACTTTACATAGCATTCTTGACAAGCCTGACAAAATTTGATCAGATTTTTTTCTTTGACTTTTTCATTATGAAACAAGTTGTATGTAGTGTCTTCTATTATATCTGGTACTGTTTCACAAGCTTCCTTCAACCTATACCACAATATCAACCACCTACTGTGACTCCCCCCCCCCCACTTGTAGGCCCTCCTCTGTCTCAGCTAATTAAGTTTTCTTGCATTTATTTTCTTGTGAGTGATAAGTATTAAATGTGAAGTAGTAATATGGCATATTTCATTCAGCTAAACCTTTGATCTTTTCCTCCTTCCATATTCCCTTCCACAACAAAGATATCCTTGGCTTTTGATATTTATACATCTAGATACTTAAAAATATATATCTATATATACATATTATATTGTTTTATACAATAAAATATTATTTTATATGTTTTATTTATATATAGTAATCATAGTAATAATAACAATAATAGGTAGGACTAATAATTGATTCCTTTGGTGACTAAGCTCTTATGGAGTCATCTGTGTGTAAACAAAATTAATGAACTAAAATCACAGTAGACATGGCATTTATGTAATTCCATGCCTGTGTCAATGACTTAATTCATATAAAATGAGTAACTGTAATAACTTTTTCAACTTTACAAACACCTGAATATGATAGAGCAATAAT